CGGGGAGAGGCTACGAGAAAGAGAGGACCCCGTTATCGAAAAAAAAAAAAAAAAAAAAAAAAAAATCAAAAATTTAGTGAAAGCTTTTGGTCCATTGAGACAGAACAAATATTTCAACAGCTGGAAGATGTTAAAAGTCAAGAGTTCTGGCATTTGAAGAGTCATATATAATCACCCTCCTCTAAAAACAAAACATCGCAAAGAAAGCCAAAGAAACATGCTATCTCATAGGAAACCACCAAAAACAAAAATACAAAAATTATAATTCCTCTCCAATCTGTATTTATAAAATTTGCTTAGCTACTAGAACTATTTAAACTGTCCCAGGTAAGAGAAAAAATCTCTTCCTGAAGTTATGGGAACACTATTTTCCTAAGTATGAAAAATAATCATCAGTGTCTTTATGTATTCATCATCATCACATTATGGCTCTTCAGGGCAGACCATACAAAGTTTTCATGTCACCTCGACAGCCGAACAGCTGAAATAATTCATGATACAGTCTGATTAAAAGAAGCAGAAAGAAAAGCTCAACCTCTGTTTCAATTTAGTTTGAACTTTCAAGCTAAAATGTCAGCAACTCAGAAGTAGAATTTGAATAAACATTTCATGATAAATTTGGGCATTAATTTTATATATTCACAGAAGCCTGTTTCCATGATTCTCTTTACTTTGTCTAAACTGTACCCCGTGAACTAACTACTACTATTCCTATCATATGCCAGCAATTCAGCCTACCTTCATCGCCTTCATATGTGGAAATAACAAACCACAGATTTATATTTTCATTCTAAGTTCATATTCTAGGAAAGACAGACTATTTATGGAATAACAGCAGGAAAATATTTTATAATCCAACACATACTGAGCACATTTAATAAAGAATGCTCCCTAGAGAAAGGCAGAGCTAAGGGCTAAGGGGAGTATGTGTATGTGTATGTGCATGTGCATGTGTGTGTGTTTTGAGTGGGAACAGTTAGAACAAATGCTGTAAAGAAAAGGCTTGTACAGTATTCCTTCTGGAGCAGGACCTGACTCCACAACCAGAAGTCTAAAGTAAGAGGAATAAACACTTTGCCAGCCAAGGGATTGACTTTCTTCCCTGAAGCAGGGAGTACTGGAGTATTGCTAACATCCTCCCAGTCACGGGGAAACTTTTTTCTAAAAAAAAAAAAATCTAATCGTTCTAAAGATTTTCTAACAATCTTTAAGAGCAGTGGATTTTAAATTAAGTTACAAGAAGCGCTAGAGTCACACCCCAGCTTGTTCTCAACCGGAGCAACTTTTGTCTGTTTTATACAAAGGTCCTATGGCAGAAGAACTGTGAAAAATGCTGATCAAAAATATTAAGAGGGGCTTCCCTGGTGGCGCAGTGGTTGAGAGTCCGCCTGCCGATGCAGGGGACACGGGTTCGTGCCCCGGTCCGGGATGGTCCCACATGCTGCGGAGCGGCTGGGCCCGTGAGCCATGGCTGCTGAGCCTGTGCGTCCGGACTGTGCTCCGCAACGGGAGAGGCCACAACAGTGAGAGGCCCGCGTACCGCAAGAAAACAAAAACAACAAAAAGAAACAAACAAACAAAATATTAAGAGGGTTGCCTCCCCAGGGATGTCAAGAGAATCCAATAACATAAACCTGTCAAATGTTTAGAACAGAGGTTTGCACGCTATAAAAGCCCAGCAGCAGTTGGCTAAGATAATGATGCTGGTAACAATTCAAGTCTTCGCTGTAGAGGTAATTTAAAAAAAACGAAGCACAGAGGCTTGTATGAGTCCATGTGTAGAAACTATACACCTAACACCTCAAGCTTTTAAAGGATGATCACCTCCAACAGGTGTCTGAATTACAGAGCTTCAAAACTGATGTACAGCGAGCAATGCCACAAGAAGGCTTACCTCTTCTTCTTGGTGATGATGAGCACGTCGTTAAAGAGGAAGAAGTAGACTTGCTGTTTGGACGTCCTTTTTGAGAAAAGCACAGTGTCTTCCACATAGGCCGTCAACTCACCTCTTTTGACCAACCAGCGGGAAGAGGAGACTAGAGGAAAAGGCTACAAAAAGAGAAACACTCAGTACCCAAAGCCAAAGTAAAGTCCTTTTAGGATTATTGAAAGTAAAGTATAAAACTTACATTCAAACAAATGATACATCACTATTGTATATAATAGTGTATATAACAGGTACGTAATAGTGAAATATAGTTAGAGAAGGATAGCACATTCTCCAAGAGAAAATCAGAAAGAACAATTTATTTTCCAATATAAAAAACTATTAGGGCTTCCCTGGTGGCGCAGTGGTTGAGAGTCCGCCTGCTGATGCAGGGGACATGGCTTCGTGCCCCGGTCTGGGAAGATCCCGGATCCTGTGCTCTGCAACGGAGCCTGTGCTCCGCAACGGGGAGGCCACAGCAGTGAGAGGCCCGCGTACCGCAAAAAACAAAACAAAACAAAATAAATAAATAAACTATTAATATTAACTTGCCTATATAAAAACTAAAACTCAATCAGAAAATGTCATTGGGTCAACCAAAAATTATTACCCTTCCATTAACTCTTAACTGAAAAAGAAGATTGATAAGGAGTCACTTAAAACTGAAAAGCCTCAAAAGGAAATCTATTGGTATCAACTGAAGTTATTTTAAATATCACAAATCAGAATCCAAACATAACAAAAAAACATTGATAGCTGTGGTTAAAAAGAGATAAATTAAAAAGTCTGCATTCAATTCATGAACTAAAAAGACTTTATTCAAAAGGAAAGAAAAAAACCCTGCAAACGTATGTTTTGTCTATTGATTATCTATTTAGCTGTATTCTGGAGAAAACCTTTGCTTAAGTTTATGGTAGTTTCCCTCAAGGAAGTTCATCCCTGAAAGCATCATGCCATTTTCTGGTTGTGAAAATGAACTTCTTCCAGAATAATCCATCTTACTCTCATAGAAAAGGCTATATTCAAGGAACTGCGTACTGTCTTTTCTTTATTCAGTTTACAGTTTCCAACTGGAAAACTCGCAAAACCTCAGAATGATCCTTACCCTTGAGAGCTTTTTTTTAAGTTACCAGAAATGCTTACTGCCAAAAATCTGATTGAAAAAAAGACATCCATAAAAATAAGCAAAAGTTCTTGGACACACAAAAGATGACTCTAGTAAGTGTGGTGCAACCAAATGTCATCCATTTCAGGGAATAATGATTAAAAATAGCCAAAGGAAATTGAGGATATTAGGGAGGAAATAAGAATGCTAAGAAAGGATTTCATATTTTTTTAATTTAGAAAGGACGTTTATAAGAAGGTTGCTCATCAGTTATATACTATTTTCCTGAAGATTTAACACGGAAGATGAAACAGTATGGCTGATCTCAAAATTTCAAAACTGGCTATTTAAAGGAGTTCATGTAGTTTTCAGCCTCCAAATCTCAAATCAGACTATGGCTGAGACTTAAAAGGTGACAGAGAGGTTGCTTAGATAACTCAGGAGGACCCCACCAGCACACACAAGAGGTCACCACAAATAATCAGAGTCAGGTTAGGTCCTGCCACAGGGCTGCAACTACTGGGAACACACTGCTATCTTGTTATTGCGTACGATAAACCAATGACAGTATTACGTAATGGCACCCTATGACTGTTCTTAGTTTAGAGGACGGGGAAAAAAGTTTTTTTAACTCTTGGTCTTTTTTTTTGTTTAAAAAACTTTTTAAAAATTTTTTGGCTGTGTTGAGTCTTCGTTGCTGTGCACGGGCTTTCTCTAGTTGCTGTGAGCGGGGGCTACTCTTCATTGCGGTGCGCGGACCTCTCACTGCGGTGGCCTCTCTTGTTGCAGAGCAGGGGCTCTAGGCGTGCAGGCTTCAGTTAACTCTTGTTCTTAAAACAGATTGAGTTTTATGAACACCTCATACTCCACTGGGCAAAAATAAATTTCCAATGTATATCTAAAATTGACAGTGGCTTGCAATATGTCTATGCTTCTTTAAAAAACAAAAATCTGATACTATAAATGTTTTTTGTTTCAGTTTATTGTTGAAAGATTAAACTCATTCAGATGGCTTTCTTTTAAGATGAAGCTATAAAAATGACCAAAATATTTAGAAGAATCACAGCAGCCCAAATTGCTCCTAAGTGAATTCCCACAGTTTAGAAGCTTCGTCTAAGACTAGAATCCAGATGTGAATCAAAAATAAGAAGAGAGGGCTTCCCTGGTGGCTCAGTGGTTGAGAGTCCACCTGCCGACGCAGGGGACAGGGGTTCGTGCCCCGGTCTGGGAAGATCCCACATGCCGCGGAGCGGCTGGGCCTGTGAGCCATGGCCGCTGAGACTGCGCTCTGCTACGGGAGAGGCCACAACAGTGAGAGGCCCGCGTACCGCAAAAAAAAACAAAAAGGAAGAAAAATTCATGAACAAGAACACATCCTTAAAGGTACTGATATAATTCCCATGGAGAAAAGATTTTCGTTCTTTTTGGTGTTACTTTGCATCCTAGAAAACCAGCCTCAGCATAAAATTTAACTAATTTTATGGGCCAGTGAGACAAGGAAGAACAAGTTTTTTCTAAGTTGAGACGAAAATGCATCATTTAGCCATTTTAAAGTATACATATAATTCAGCGGCTTTTAGTACATTCACAGTGTTGTGCAATGATCATCACTATCTAATTCCAGAACACTTCCATTACCCTAAAAAGAAAGTCCATATGCACTGAGCAGTCACTCTCCACTCTGCCCTCCCATTAATTAATCCTTACAATAACTCCATGAGGGAAAGTACCATTATCAGTCCTACTTTACGGTTCAGAAACCTAAGAAATCAAAGTTGAGTAATGCCCAAAGTCCTACAGCTAGTAAGTAGTGGAGCTACAACTGGAACTCAGGCAGGCTGGCTCCAGAGTCCACGCTCTTAATATTGGCTTCCTGTGCCGAGCGGGTGGACTCTCCTCACCCCTCACATTACCACGTGCAGCACATGATACTTGGCCAGAAACTTACTAATTTAAAAATGAAAAACACATGTAAGTAAACATCCATCCACACATTCATACATACATAAATATCTAATATACACACATACACACACACAGACATATATATAAGCTTTTATCCCCTGCAAATGAGAAAAAGACTAGCATTATTTTGCTGCCATGGTTAAGAATGTGGACGCTGCAGTCAGTCGCAGATCTGAATCCAGGCTTCAGTACTTCTTGGTGTATAACTTTGAGCAAATAATTTACTATTTCTAGCTTCGAATTCCTCAACGATAAAATGGGAATAATAATTAGATACTTCATGGGGTTCCTGTGAGAATTCAATGAGACTATGTGAAAATGGCACATAGTAAATACTCAGTAAATATTTTCATGGCAGTAATGGCTACGGTAGGACCATAAACCAAACAGAACCAACACAGAACCCGCTACCTTTCCCTCAGGGTCGTTCCTCCTCTTGGATTCCCTACCTAGGTGGATGGTGTGACTCTCCATCCAGTCGACCAGACTAGACACCTGCGGTACCACAGCTACAGCCCTCCTCCAGGCATCCCGCTTATCTCTCCGCCTCTGCTTCCAGTCTCCAAACTGGTTTTCTGCCTCCGGTTTTATTACGTTCCCAACTTACCCTCCACATAGCTGCTGTAATACATTTTCAAAATAATAAACTGAATCTGGTGTATGTGTGTAGAGTGGGAAGGGGGGGTTGTTTAAAAAAAAAATCCTATGAAAACCTATTAAGTGAACAACCTCCTTCCCACCCCGTACCTCATCTACTCAGTTTCCAACCATTGATTACAGCCCCTACAAGGTAGTAACTGTTACTGTTCTATAACTTTCCAGAGATTTCTTACACATAAGCAACTTTTATACTCTTTTCTCCTCCTGTTCTGCACCTTACTTTTTTCACTTAATAATATAAGACAGAAAGCTTACCTATCGATTCCTAAAATTCTTCATTTTTTTTTAAGTTGAGTGGTCTTACATAATTTAGGTATACTATAATTTATTTAATCAGTCCCCTATTGATAGATGTTTAGGTTGTTTCTAATCTTTTGCAATTAAAACAATGTCATATCAGTAACTTTGTGTGTATGTCTGTATACATGTGTGTGTGTGTGTAATTTTATACATTCATGAGTATATCAGTAGGATAAATTCTTAGAAGTAAAATTTCTGGGTCATAGTAACTTGCATTTGTAATTTTGATAGTTATTGACATATTGCCCACCATTGGGGTTATAACAATCTTTCTCACGAGCAACAGATAAACACGGCTTTCCCAACAACTCACTGATAAAATGTTTTACCAAACTTTTGAATTATTTATAAATCTAAGTGGTAGAATACATTATTTTAATTTCAATTAGCAATTTTCTTCTGAATGAAGTAAAGCATCTTTTCAGATGTTTAACAGTCATTTATATTTCCTCTTCTGACCACAGTTTTCTAGTTTGCAATTTTCTAATGGATGTTTTCCTTATCTTCTTCTTATCACTTTGAGGTTACATGTTGGGAATATTAACGCTTTATCTACATGGGAGTTCTAAATTTTTTTCCCAGTTTCCTATTTCCCTTTTCACTTTTTAAATGCCCTTTAATTTTAACTCTATGGAGAACTTTTTAAAATTTTCATATCGATCAATTTTCCTTTTAATGACTTCTGGATTTGGAATAAGTTTAAAAGGCTTTTACTATGATGCTAAGGTCATCTCTACTAAATGCGCATCTGACTGTGTCACTTCCACGCTTTTGTACTTTTCAGTGGCTCCCAGATGATCCGGCTCTGTTCCTTCTTTTGGCACACAAGGCCCTTCCCACGAGTTCTAGTTCTGCCCCGCTCGCCTCGACCCCACTGAATGTGTGCAATTCCTGGGCTACAGCAGCTGAAACCATGTCCTGTGCATTTGCTCCTTCTCTTCCCTCTTGGAAGACCCTTCTCTCTTCTCCTTTCAAGATCAGCTCAAGCGTACCTCCAGTATGAAGACTTGCCTGGCTGCTACAAGCTCCGCACCCCTTTGTCTCTCATTCTTAGGGCCGGCCACGCCCTCTCCATTGCTGGTGTTCTCAAAACTCTTCTATCTCCCATAACAGCTGTAGACTTGGCTCACTCCTTTGTATTTCTGTAGTCTTCTACTAGATGGTAAGCTCCCTGAGGGCAGGGATTATGCTTTTGTTTTCCCACTTCAGTCCACAATGGTGCTCATGAAATTTGTTGAAAGAATGCACGTGCTTGGACAAACCACTTAACTTCTTTGAAGTTAAGTCTGTCTTCTCGTCATTGAAATGAACTGAATAAAAATGTCCATTGTTATCCATAAAGTGTTATGGAAATGAGGTCCTAAGGTTGTATTAGTATTTCTAAGTGGTCTGAATTAAGTCCTTCATTATAAATCTAAACTTAGAATATTTTCCTTAAGTTTGCAAACTTAATCACTGAACCAAGAGAAAACAAAACACCAAAAACTCATGCACTCAGTTGATGTTAATCACTTATTTTTAAGAACCCTTGGGGTAAGCATTTTTTCAGTTACAAATTAATTGTGGTTCTAGAGAAACAGAGCTTAAAGGTATCTTAAACCAAGGGATTATCAGTGAAGAAAGAAAAAGAAAAATGGTTAGGGAAGGGACTTATCAACTTTTAAAATGGAAATGGTTAGAGATTTATCATCTTTAAAAAGGAGGGGATTAAAAAGAATCTTTTGATGTACAGATATATTTCCTAAAATACTTAGAAACAAATGAAAGTGAAGGACAGGATTCTTTTTGAAGGATGGGAAAAAACGGGTTTTGAAATTGCCGTAAATTTCTATATGAGGGTATAATAACTAAAGTGTGCGTGCGTGTGCATGCGCACGCTGTTTTTAGCAAATACCCATCATTTTCTGAGAAGAATCATGGATCATCTTTCTGCATTTAAATCTTTATAGTCAGGGTGTCACAGTGGAAGAGTTTACACTGATCTGCAAGTCAGGATGTCTGGACCCTAGTCCTGATTTTGCCACCACAAGCCGAATGACCCTGTTAACGATTAATTATTCTCTGGATTGTATTTCCCTCATTTATAAAATAAAAGGGTGTAGCTGTACTATATCAGTGGCCCTCAAACTATATGACACAGCAGAGAGTTATCTGCATAATGCCACGATCGCTCTAATCCCACTGCACAAATTAGGAACACTTTCACTATGAAAAAATATGACCGCTTTAAGTTGCTTCATTAAATTCAAGTGGCATAAAACGAAACAGAATAACAACCATGAACACTCACATCCATTAAGAACTGAACTGTAAGCCAACAAAGGAGTTGACCATGGCCTGGCCTCGCCATTAATTGTTATCTCCTTCTTTGTTCATCCTGTCATCTGCCCCTGAGCAGTATGAGACACGCAGTAGCAGGCAGCATATATGCACAAAAGAATTATGGAAGAAAAACAAATTTGAAAAGAACAATTCACTAGTAATCCTTTTTTGCAAACTGAGAAAAGAGTGTCCTTATTTGATTTAGGAGAACACCCTGATCCAGCTCGTGGGATACCACTGTTTTGCAGGATACTTTGAGAATGCTAAAGAAATCTCCTTTGTGTTCTAAAATTCTATTATTTTTAACCACCCTTTTCTCAAGTTTGGTGTCTTCCTAGGGAAAGAAGAAAGTGCCAGTTAGATAATACCTAACTCTGTGGCCTAGAGAAAGGTCACTTTATCTGGTATTAGCAAGAGCTGAATTGTCCAAAGCAAAGCATCTGCTATTTCCCCTGCCAGCCTCTCTGTAATCAATTTATGGCCCTGCTGTGAAAAGCAAATTCCTCTCCACTCTGCTGCCCTCAACTATCTCTTTATTCACGTAAGATTTAAGCAAGAGCAGGAACAAATCTATTTATGAAGAAGTATGAGAGAATACCTTAATTTTAAACTCCAGCTGGGAGTTAATTGTGTACATCATTTCAGTCCTTTCCATCTTCCGAGCTCCTTCATTGCAGAGTCGAACCAACTGGAAACAGGATAATAAGGAGGGTTAAGAGGTGAACGAGAGAAACCTCACTTTCAAATGCAGATCTCACAGGAAACAATTAGCACTGTGGAAGCTCCAGAGACTCATTCCAGACAGTTAAAGAGCTCACAGTTTCACACAGTCAAGACTTTGTACCCAGTTGGAAGTGGTGTCATCAGGATGTGAAGACAGAGGGAAAAAAACGTCCTGAGAATTTTCAGGGACACACATCCTCTGTGCATTATCACACGATGCCCTCCACATACACTCGGCAGATTCCTCACACAGTCCAGTCTGCTCCATTCTGCTCCTTTCCTCTGCCCCTCCTCCTTGCCTTCACCCATGGGAACATCACCAACCTCAGAGCAAGCTGCACCTCTCTCCCCACTTCATATCAGAGCAGCTGAGGGCAGACCACTGACTTCAAAGGCAAATTCTTAGCAGAATGCTACATGCAAAGCAGGTGACCAGTAACCTGGATGCTGGAAGAGGAAAGCCTTCTATTGGAACCTAATGGTCAATGATTCTTCAAGGATGGTCAAGCTAAGGGAAATTCAGTTTAATTAGAACTACTGATTAATCTACAAACAGAACGAACTCATTGACCTTTGATGAGTAGCTGTGATATCATGATTTATAATAAACAAAATATATATTTTGTCTTTTTCCATGGTTTCTGGCACACAGCTCCTAAAACCCTTGTAATTTCCTATGTAAGAGCCACAGGGGCATCTCTGGCTATAATTTAGTTTTGCTACCAGTTCCTGAAATAGCTCCAGGGCATAAAAGTGAAATGGGTATCTTCTGTTATTCGTAACAAGCCCCCCCCTCTCAACCACATCTGAGTTTATGTTAATGAGGTGACTTCTGGTAAGCCCCTAAGGATGGGGCTGGTTGCCAGGGAAACCAACCAAGTGATTAAAGAGAAGGCTGGAACTTTCAGCCCTGCAGACTTCCAGGGAGGGGAAAGGGGCTGGAGATAACGTGATCACTATTGGACAATGATTGAATAATTCACGCCTACACAGTGAAGCCTCCATAAAAATCCCTGAACTTCCGAGTTGGAGAGCTTCCAGGCTGGTAAACAAGAACACTCCTGCGTGCTGGGAGGGTGGCATCCTTCTAGACCTCACCTTATCTCTTCATCTTGCTGTTCATTCTTATCCCTGAATAGCCTTTGTAATAAATCACTAATCTAGTAAGTAAACTGTTTTCCTGAGTTCTGTGAGCCCCTCTAGCAAATTAATCAAACCTGAGGAGGGGGTCATGGGAACTTGATTTATAGCCAGTGGGTCAGAAGCACAGGTAACAATGTGACTGAAATTCAGTGACTGAAATGAAGTTGGGGGGTGTAGTCTTGCGGGCTTGAGCCCTTATCCTGTGGGATCTGATGCTATACCTCCAGGTGGAGTGAGAACTGAACTGAATACAGTAAGACACCCAGCTGGGTCAGCAGAAGTACTTGGTGTGGGGAAAAACCTCACACATTTGGTGACCACAAGGATCAGAAATGAAGTGCTCTGTGGGTAGAGTACTGAGCACAGAGGAGACACACAGGAGTTTCTCCTTTACACTGTACCTAATACATAACTATTAGTTCACTGGCCTAAACCAAAACAAACTTTGTATTTCCAATTTCTTATTAACTGAAAAATCTATAAAACTTGCCCATAACAAGGATCATTGGCCATAAAGACATGTGATTGTTAAAAGCGAAGCTAGAAATTCTGATTAGATTTACTTTAATATTACTGCTTCATTAAGTTACATATGCTTACTGCAAAAAAAAAAATGATAGGGGCTTCCTTGGTGGCGCAGTGGTTGAGAGTCCGCCTGCCGATGCAGGGGACACGGGTTTGTGCCCCGGTTCGGGAGGATCCCACATGCCGCGGAGTGGCTAGGTCCGTGAGCCATGGCCGCTTAGCCTGCGTGTCCTGAGCCTGTGCTCCGCAATGGGAGAGGCCACAACAGTGAGAGGCCCGCATACCGCAAAAAAAAAAAAAAAAAAAAAAAAAAAAAAAAAAAAAAAA